CACAGCCCCCCCCCCCCCCCCCCCATGTCGTGTTTCCGGGCTCCGCTGCCCCTCCTGCGGGCCTGGGACCGGCATGTCGGGCGCCGGCAGGAAGCTGGGGATGAGAGCGGCGAAGGTACGTTCACTGATCTCTTTCTCGCTCTATGGGACCTGGAGCAATGCACTTTACATCACTTGCGGTCCCATAGCGTTCATTGCTGGGCTCCTGAAGTTAAGCTATTGAAGTGTGATCTGCACATCAATAGCTTATTTCAAGGGTAAAAGGTGACACTGGACACTTTTTGACCCCCCGGTTTTGCCTTAACCAGTTGACATCCGCGGTGTTAAACCCCCTTCCCATCCAGGCCATTTTTACTGGGGTACTGAAGTTTGTCACCGTTTTACTGATGCACACAATTTTTAACATTGGCATGTTGGGTATCAATTTCCTGGGCATAACCTCATCTCTTATATTTTACAAAAAAAATGGGTATTATATTGTGTTTTGGGGCACTTCATTTAACTTGAGTGCATTTTTTGCAAAATTTTGGGATGATAAAGAGTTGCGCTAATAACGTGCAACATAAACATTTGCAAATCATTTGTTCCTAGTGGCATGGGGTATTCTCATTCCAAAATGTTTCACAATATTATTCCTCAGGGGAATGGAGACAGATGATTGTGGGGTGTACACGGAAATCAGGGATCATCCAATGCGAAAGGGAAAACCCCCTCCCTTCATCACCGGACTACAGTGGGACCACAGGGAGGGGTTATTAACAGGCAAGAGCAAAGAGAGGCGCCCCAATACTTTGCGTATATCAGCTCTTAAGGCCGTGTGGATGTGTTAGTGCTCCAGAGAACGTCCCCACAGTAGAAACTAAATACAGAGAGTAGCTGGATACAATAACCACTCATCAACAGATAAATGTTCCTTCATGGAACAGATAAACATTCCAATCCCCTGAGGAAGCATATTCCGAAACGCGTTGGAAAGAATGACACTAGGAACAAATAATTGTTGAAGATGCACTTTGTTTCATAAAAGTATATGGATGCTGTTGTATAGAGCGTTAAGCATATATAATGAACTGTGAATGCCTCTACAGGCCCATCACTACAACCAGAGTCCCCACAGTGGCTTAGTGGTTAGCACTTTCACCTTGCAGCACTGGGGGGGGGGGGGCCCCCAGTTTAAATCCTAGTCAGGCCACTCTCTGCAAGGAGTTTGCATGTTCTCCCTGTGCTTATGTGGGTTTCCTCTAGTTTACTCCCACACTCCAAAAGACATGCTGATAGGGCCAATTTACACAGGAGCCCATTAACCTATATGCATGCGAGATAGGGACGATAGATTGTAAGAGTCTTTAGGGCAGGGACTGATGTGAATTTGCAGTATGTAAAGCGGTGTGCAAATTGTCGGCGCTATATAAAATACCTGTACTACATAAATACTTATTATACAGGATTTATATAGCGCCAACAGTTTGCGCAGCGCTTTACAATATAAGGAAGACATTACAATAACAATACAATTCAAGACAAGATGGTACTAAGGGCCCTGCCCGTGAGTGCTTACAATCCAGCAGGGCTTATCCATAATAAGCCCTATAGGAAGGGAAACCAGGGGGAAAACAACTAATAGAACCTTGGCCAACAACATCAAAGTTAAAAACAGTTGAAACAAGCAACTAATGCCTTGTGAGAGCAACAAAGGTTCTCCCTAAATTTGAGCCCAATATGACAACTGTGTTCAGTTAAGCAACAAAAAAAACTTGGTCTCCACAGATAAAGGAACATGTCAGTTCACATTTGATGAATACACACGCTCATTCTTAGTGCATTTGCAAATCACTAATTCACAAAAGGAGTCAGATAGTCACTATTAAAAATGTAGATGCGTTTCACTGGCAAATCATTCCAAAAAAACATACGAAAAGCTTCATAAAAACTTACAAATATGCCAGCTATGCTTTTTGTGCTGTCTGCTTTACGCAAGTGTTGTAATACTTAAACATCTATCATTGGTATGGATGTTGTTGGCTTTAAATGCATTTATAATTGAATGAAGGAGCAAAAACCTACACTTTAGAAGGTTCAGCAGTGACATCTAGTGGGCATATAATATATAAAACACATACTGTATAACACACATATACATACAGCCATAACATTCTGAGCAGGTGAGTGAATAACATTGATTGATTATCTGGTTACTATGGCACCTGGAAGTGGGGGGGGGGGGATATATTAGGCAGCAAGTGAACATTTTGTCCCTGAAGTTGATGTGTTGGAAGCAGAAAACAATGGTCAAGCGTAAGGATTTGAGTGACTTTGACAAGGGCCAAGTTATGTCGAGATATCTGGGTCAGAGCAACTCCAAAACCGCAGCGCTTGCGGGATGTTCCTGGTCTGCAGTGGTCAGGACTGACCAAAAGAAGTGGTCCAAGGAAGGAAAACCAAAGAAGTTGCGCCAGTCATGGGCAGCCAAGACTCAATGAAGCACGTGGGGAGTGAAGGCTGGCCTGTGTAGTCCGATCCAATAGAAGAGCTCAAATTGCTGAAAACGTTAAACTGACATTAAAGTATAATTTTTTGTTCCCTCCCCGCAATGTTAGTGTAAGCACTTACCTTAAATTATGTTTCTTAATCAGATTTTCTTCTTCTTTCCTGTAGTTTTCAGCTGTCCCTCCAGCGCTGCTGCGGTTCTCCGATCCAGCGCTGACTCCTCTGTGCGTGCTGGCACTACCTGTCCCACTGAGTCTGCATGCGGGTGCACGCGTCCATAGACTTACCTTGTGTGTCTACTTGTCTTCCGGCCGAAAATCTAAACTGTGCATGCGCCTGCCCCAAGATCCTTTGCGGCCGCCCGAGATTTTTTAGATTTTCGTACGGGAGCTCGCGGCGCAGACACGGGTAAGTTTTGACCTCTTTTAAAAGTTTTTTTATTTTTTTTAAGTTTTTGCATATATCTACTGCTTGCTAGCAGTACATATATATGCAAAACAACTGGAGGGTTTAATAACCCTTTAACACTGGTTCTGATAGAAAGGTGTCTGAACACACAGTGCATGACAGTTTGTTGCGTATGGGGCTGCATAGTCAGGCTAGTCGGAGTGCCCATGCCGACCCATGTTCACCACCAAAAGAGCCTACAATAGGCATGCGAGCATCAGAACTGGACCACAGAACAATGCAAGAAAGTGGCCTGGTCTGAGAAATCATGTTTTCTTTTACAATATGTGGAGGGCTAGGTACATGTGTCGCTTACCTGGGGAAGAGGATGCACTATGGGAAGACAAGCCAGCACAGGCAGTGTAATGCTTCGGGCAATGTTCTGCTGGGAAACTTTTTAAATCCTGCCATTCATGACATGTACCACCTCCCTACACATTGTTGCTGACCAAGTACACTCCTTCATGTGTGAAGTGTATTCCCTGATGATAGTGGCCTCTTTCAACAGGATAATGTGCCCTGCCACAGTGCAAACATGATTCTAGAATGGTTTGAGGAACACAACGACAAGTTTGAGGTGTTAAACTCGACCTCCAAATTCTCTAGATCTCAATCCAATCGAGCATCTGTGGGATGTGCTAGAAAAACAAGTCCGATCCATGGAGGCCTCACTTCACAACTTGCATGACCTAAAGGATCTGCTACGGACGACATGGTGCCAGATACCACAACATACCTTCAGAGGTCTAGTGGAGTCCATGCCTCAATGGGTTAGTGCTGTTTTGGCAGCAAAAGGGGGACCTACTCAATATTAGGCAGATGGTCATAATGTGATGGCTGATCAGTGTACGTACACATATACACACACAACCATTAAAAAAAGAAGACCGCCACCACTTGTCAGCTTTTACACCACTGAAACTCCCCAAGTCAAACACTACCAACGTTATTCTCGAGGGAGAAAGCCAAGGTAATGAAAATTGACCATTTCCTGGTAATACTTATTGTAAGACGACGTGTTCTAACTTTTATTATCGTTGTTGACTGCAGTACTATTTTCTAGCCCTCAAATCCAAGAGGAAAGGGCAAGTCAACTAGTTTTTTTAATCACATAATTAGGACTTGATCAGATAAGGGTTATAATATGCTTGATTTGTGATACAATATAGATATAGCAAAGTGACTTTTACCCTCTCTGGACCTGCAGGGGTTGGAGCTCCCCGATCGCTAGCCCTTGTGGAGTGAAGTATTTCAGTAACTCCTTGGCATCCAGTGGCGTCAGTCCTTCCTTCTGACTGTCCTTCCGGCCCAGTAAATGCTCTGCAGAGCTGGACAGCATAGACGCCCTGTAAGAAATTCAAGCAGGACACAATAACAAACGGTTGGTGTAGCCATATTGTACCGAGAACAACTTTCAAAATGAAAACACATTTTTTTAAATGGTTTACTGCAAAAGCCCAGGAATCAGGATGAGGTCAAGTAATACATTTTGGGTATAATTAGATGAACACATTTGGGGATACAAACAAGCAATGCCAAACCTACATATGCCATTTGATAAAATGGTAGTCTGATTCTAATCGGATAGCTAGATGCATATATATCAATCTCTCAAAAGGGAAGACGTTTTAATGTATCCCCCGCAGAGGGCATTGTGCAGAGGATACAATATATATATCTATATATAGATATCTATATAGATATATATGATGTCAAAAACGCAGTATTGCAGTGTGCAATGATACCTTTCTTATTGGACTAACAAAATATATAAAAGACAAGCTTTCGAGAGTGAACCTCTCTTCTTCAGGTCAGAAGCAATACATTGTTAGTCCAATAAGAAAAGGTATAATTGCACACTGCGTTTTTGTCATCTTGTCTACTGGACAAATACGGCTTACACACACACACACACACACACACACTTTGAGAGACACCACCCAACACTTTCAGTGGCTGCTGGCTCTCAATCAGAGATGTCATTGACATCTGTTCCCACTGACAATGGGGAACCAGAGTGGTTCCCGATCATGATCATAGCAAAGCTGGAGGCTTCATTGACATAATCCTACAGCATGCAGATGGCTCTAGAGCCTGAAGGTGACAGTGCTCGTCAGTTTTTAATACTGTAATTGTTAGATACAGTAGTTTTCCCCATTTTGCTTACATACTTGCTTGCATACTAATACTGGTAAATGTATCCTGGAAATCTAGGTGTTCATGGCCTTTGATCAATACAAAGTTAGGAATATACGAAAAGATGAGGACCACTTCCTCAAGTAGCAAAGTAACATCACTCTCTGTTAAACATTGGCAAAAAAAAAAAAATAGGATTTTGGTACTCACCGTAAAATCCTTTTCTCTCCGTATTTTTCCCCCAGGAATTTTATACTCACCGGATTCTCTGTTGGATTTTCTCAAAGTTCTCCAGATTCTGAAGTACGTTTCTCTCTGGCCATTCTGATGAATTTAACATGGATGCTTGAGATTCTGAAATACAATGTTGGCAGGTGAAGCAGGTTACAATTATACACTTCTCAAAAATGAAGATTTGAGCTGAAAATGTGATTGTGTGGCAAGATACTTTCCTGTATGCCTGCAGTTCGATTGGTGGCCTATTTTAATTAATTTTGAATTGTTCACACCAAATGCAGAGCAGATCCGGAACTATCGGGCTAGGCATTGGAGCATTTGGGCGAGTACGAGTACTCGCCATCGGTATTTGGTAGTATAGGTATAGCCCTATTATAAATAACAGGTGCACAGTCATCTGCTGAACTGGACTGTGCTGGGACTAACCATACAATCTCAGACACCAGATGGAATCATTGACAATACTAGACACTTACCAGCAGAGAGAGCTCCAGAACGGTTCTGTTTTACATCCTGCTGGACTATGTCCTTTGGCAATTTGCTTTCATACATGCTGAAAACTCTGTCTCGAGTCAGTTTTAACAAGGCCTTCAATGAGTTAATATTCGCAGGGGTGAGCGGTTGTCCACCATCTTTTCTTCCTGGATAACAAAAAGGTTTTTTTAATTTTATTAATAGGGCAGAAAAGTTTATTTTACATGAAATAAAAAATGCGGCATCGTGTACTTACTGAAAAATTCCTCCACCACCAAGACCCGAGCGCGAGCTAGGGTCTTCTCCCTCATCAGAATCTGATCGCCATCATAGAGAGGAAGATTGCTCAGTGCGCTGGAATCTGGAAAAACAGTAAAGTTACTCAATTAAAGGCCAATTCCACCTTTCAAACTATGGTCCACAGTACATCTGTATTTAGGATGTAACGTGGCGTTTCTCTCCGCAGGCTTCCGTATAAATTTTAAATAAAGGTGCGGCTGTTAGTGGCTTCGTACTCGCAGCCTTGTCTGTGGATGAAAAATAAAATGTCCCATCTGCCACTGTGGTGTCACCACACGTGTAGTCCATTGATAACTTCCTCCAGCTCCTTAAAATGAAGAGGCTGGAGGAACAGTCCTCAGGTGACTGCACTGCACCCACAATCCACTGATTGGAGCCTGCAAAGCATTGCAACTGCGAAGAAAAAAAAATAAATGCAAACTTTTTCTTTTTGCCATATGCCTTTAATTTTACTGTAAGCAGATAAGCTTTAAAATCCGGTCATAACAAAAACTAACTGAACTTTCAGTTTAAATCCGCTAAATACATTCCAAGTGACTTCCTGCTGAAAAAAAAGTACCCTTGCTCTTTGTGTCAAAAGCAGTGGTCTCTCTGCAGAAGCCCTTTCATGTGCACCTTACTTTAAAGTAAATTAAGAATTGAGACTCTGCTCTTTCTAATGCTTGTCTATCTTTTTGTAATCCCCATCTATTTTCTATTGTCTGACCTCTTCTCTCACCCTTTTTAGCAAATACTGCCTCCTGATGTGCACATAGCCCGTTGAGGCACATGTAACCACATCCATGATGTGGCCAGAGGGTCAGTCAGCCCGTATGACCCTCTCACTTTAAAGCAGATGTCTACGTTTCATTCTTGTTCTTTGGCTGCAAATGTGAATGGAAGGGCTAATCCCCCTTTTCGAAACACTGGTTGTTATTGTATCCTCTATATTATGATTGATTATGATTGATATGCGGAACCCTGTTTTTGTCGTTTTGATGCTTGTATTACCTCTGTATGTCATTCTTTATAAATCAATAAAACTTAAAAATGGAAAAAAGAATTGACGAGTGCATTTGCCATTTGTGTCACTTGGATTTGGTGTGCGGACACACTGCCATTGTGATGTGTGGGACTTCTGGTGTGTCCCTGTGCCTTTAAGGAGGAATGAATGGCCTTCCTGGCAAACCTGCACCCAATTCATCCTTTGCTTTATATGCTCTAAGATGGAGGCTCTCAGATTAGAGTTAGGACATGACACAGAGGGGCCATGATGAGGCAGTGTGGCTTCCACATATTTTGCAAACGTTGTTCAAATAAAACCTAACAGTTAGACAGTGTCATTTGCTTTTGTTGCAAGCTAGCTGGTTAGTGTGCTGGGAAATTTTGCTCCGCAGAAGACTGACACCCCCTGCAGAGCTCTCTAATTATCAGGAAGCATAATATTTGCCTATTTCAGAGCTCTAAGCTCTGGCTCTGCGTGTGGCAGGGGACAGGCTTGCCTACACAAGCTGTGGCTGCTTTCTAAAGAAAATAATCTTTTAACACTTTACACACTTCTTTAAAAGAAGATCTACTTACCTGGATTGTCTGTTTCAGGCCTATCATTGAGTCGTTGATGTAACAAATTAATCGAGGCAGCTCCGTTGATCTGATTGGAGGAGTGAATCATGGTCGCCTTGCACACTCCATTTTTTAATCCTTGGACTAAGAAGTAATAATTGCAATATTCCCCTTTAAGCTTAATCCCTGGAACTAGAGAACATAAACAGTGATTACAAATACAGAACAGTAGAAGTCATAGAATTGTATTTAGTCAAGTCTCATTTTCCAATGGACCAATAAACATACAGTCCCAAATCCTTCTTACATACTGTTAATGCACCATGGCTGCCCAGTGTCTGCCAGTGCCACTGACTATAAGCACCGGAACTAAACCAAACCACTTCAAGGCTTCATATGATCACACACAGCTGACGTTGACGGCTTCCAGACCTTCCTCTGGCTGCTGATCTGGGCGAGGTGTTCAAATTTTGTGTTCATTGTTGAGGCCAAAGGCTTCCCTGCTTTTAAAAATTTACAAGCTGAAAGTTGGCTTGGTTACACTGACTTCTACTACTCACTCCAGCCTGTGATTGAATAGTGGAGGAGGATCGGCAGAACACTGATGAGATCACTGCTTTAAAAAGGTGCCCACACACCTTGCGATAATTGTAGGATAATCGCGGGAAACCCCAAGATCGTACGATTATCGCAAGGTGTGTGGAAGACGTGCAACCTCTGCTACTGTAAGGTCGCACGACTTTTATCTAAAGGAACATGTTCGAAAACCCGCCGAACATTGTACGATTTTCAGCTGGTTTGTGGTATGTTTACAAGATAAAAGCCGCACGGGTCGGTGTGCGCAAGCGCACACTGCCTGTTTAGCATTGCGGTAATCGGAAGCCCGCCCCTCAGCGGGGCGGGCTTGCGATCATCACAAGTACGATCTGCCTGTCCAAGATGGGCAGATCGTACGTTTTTTTAAAATTACCTTATAACCATCGCAAGACAAAAGTCTTGCGATGACTGGCCTGACTGGCCCCTAGCACTACCCTCCCTTTCCCACTGTTGTTGTACATGGGATATAAGAGGCTGATACCAAATCAGATTCAGGTATTTGTTCTAGCTGCATATTAACCCCTTCATGACTGAGCTTGTTTTTAGTTTCTGTTCGTAAATGACTGACACACTTTTGACATTTTTGCTGTGTGATTCTTCCACGTCAGTAATATACTTTCTTACAAAGTGCACCCACACATATTATATATTGTTTTTTAGAGGACAGATAGGGCTACATATTTATATCACATATGTGCGTCTAACGCCTCACTTAGGACAAATAAAATATAAAAAAAGAGGAAAAAACCGTTTAAAAAAAACACTTTTTTCCCAGTTTTGATTTGTAGTATTTTTTTTACAAAACCAGCACAGCTAAAAAAATGCAATAAATACATTCATTTATTTGTCCCTTATTTTATTTTATTTTTTACACATTTTTTTATTTTTTTTACACTTTTCACAATTTTTTTTTTTTTTTACACTTTTCACTTTTTTTTTTAACTTAAAAATGTTATTTAATTTATTTAATTATATCAAGCAGATTTTGTGAATTAATCTCACTGTTACTGCATGATAAATTAATAAATTTTTGGTTATTATCAGGCTGCTTCAAACTTCAGAACAGCCGATAATAAGTTAGTGACACTGATCCTGCAGCAGTTCAGGATTCAGCTGTTACTAAATGTTTTCTGATTGTTGCAACAACGATCAGCAAACAAACATTCTTCTTCCAGGAATAGATACATTGTAGGAATAGACACATTTTGTATCTATTCATGAAAGAAAAAAAAAAAGCCAGTATAGCTTGAGAGAGATATCTCTCGATCTATACGAGCTGTCAGAATGCCGGCAAAAGCCGGCATCTGTGTCCGCTTTGCTTTGACTCTCAGACACCCGATATTAAGGTATCGGGTGTCTGAAAAAGGTTAACCCTTTCATTAATGAATGCCTCTGTAGTAAGGGCAGCCATTAATGAATGTTAAAAGCTGATTCTCAGCGATTAACAGCCCTCTAAAGCAGCAAATAACTCGTCACGTACAGTGTACGTGACAAGTCATTTGGTCCCTTTGTGGCTGGACGTACAGTGTACATCTCCCGTCACGAAGGGGTTAAAGTACAATTAAAAAATACATACATACACACCAGACATAACATTATGGCCACCTGCCTTGTATTAAGTAGGTCCCCTTTTGCTGCAAAAGAGGCCTGACCCATCGAGACATGGACTCCACTAGACCGTTAAAGGTATACTGTGGTATCCGGCACCAAGCCGTCAGTAGCAGATCCTATAAGTTGTAACTTGCGAGGTGAGGCCTCCATGGATTGGACTTGTTTTGCCAGCACATCCCACAGATGCTCGATTGGATTGAGATCTGGAGAATTTGGAGGCCAAGTCAACACCTCAAACTCGTTATTGTGTTCCCCAAACCAATATTGAACCATTTTTGCACTGCGACATGGTGCATTATCCTGCTGAAAGAGGCCACTGTTAATAAGGAATATCGTTACCATGAAGTGGTGTACTCGGTCAGCAACTTTTAGGTAGGTGGTACCTGTCATAGTAACATCCAAATGAATGGCAGGACCCAATTTTCCCAGCAGAACATTGCCCAAAGCATTACACTGCCTCTGTCCGAGTAGGCTCCACCAACTACAGATTGCCTGCAGGAGGGGCAGACAAGCGAGAGCAGCAGTGACTTGTCTTAATACAGAATTCTCCTGCGCAGAGGCAAAGTTTTACACCGAGTCAAAGCACAGACCTGGAAGATGTATATAAAGCACACCAAGGATGAAGCAAGACTACACATGACTTGTATTTAGACAATAGTTGCTTATCCCAGACTTCAGCTTTTCTATTTACCCAGATTTCAGCTTCAACAAATAGCGGCACTGCACACCCTAGTCACTTCATGAAATCACAACGCCCACCTTTGATCTCTTTGGGTTTCCTAGATAAGTATTCCTTCCACTTCTTGGAGCTACGCTGGGACTCAGGGGGTAGAGGAAGACTGCACACATTACATGGCAGCAGAAATACAGCCCCAACCTGGAAGAAACAAAAACAGTAGTGTCCGATTTGCTTTAGAAATTTTAAAACAATAATCCCAGCAAAAATGAATAAAAAACCCCCAAAATATTTCAGTTACAACCTACCCACAGGAGGGACGTTGCACAATAATTTACAGCTTGTTGACTTGCAGAGGAAAGCCAGGAAATGTGTGAAGTCCGAGACCTGATTGGTAACCAGATGGGTTGAAAAGGATTTGTTGGTATGGGGTGTGCAGTTATCAGTTTTCATAGCGCTAAAACGCTATCTATGGAAAATTCATCCAAAAAATGCTCAACAACCCCAAAGGATGTTATTTCAGGTAGCAATCTGCCACACACCCAAGGCTCTGATAAAGGGGGGTGCAGCCATAAAAAGGGTTTTAAGGTGCTTTAGTGAGGGGATACATGGCCACTTTTCTTATATTGGCTGATGGGACACCAGACCGCTGCTCTTTTGGGGTTGGCTGAGGGGATACCTGGCTGCATTCCTGGTATAGGCTGAGGGGACACCTGGATGCTCTCCTGAGATTGGCCAAAGGGGACACCTGGCCAATTTTCTGGTATTGGTTGAAGGGACACCTGGCAGCTTTTCTGGAATTGGCCAAGGCGAGACCCGGCTGCTCTTCCTACAGGTACCAATTGCAGGATCTTTCCAAAATCACCGGGCATACTCTACTCTGCCCAACAGTATAACTTCCTGTGTTTAGGCCCCTAACAAAGAAATAGTGCGAAGTTGGTTTTGAATGAGAGAAAAGGCTGTAACTCAACATTGACCATGTATTTGGAATAACAGTGTATTTAAAATTGGTTTAACCCTTTCCTATGAAAGGGTGTAGTAGTAGTAGTAGTAGGCGTATTTGTAGCCCATAATGTATTGCTAGTTTTGCATAGAGTAGGGGAGGGTTAAAAACCCCTATCATATTTATTTTGCTGTCACTCTCCTGCTGGGGAAATTTCATTTCAATTTATTTCCTGAAATTGCAACAAGAAATCTCATCAAACTGAGGAAATTCCCATCTCAGGCACCAGAAAGTTTGTTAACACACGATTTACCCTAGGTCTAAAGCTGGCCATACACTTTACAACCGCACGACTTCTAAGGTAATTAAAAGCTTGTACGAGCTGCCCATCTTGGACAGGCAGATCGTACTTGCGGTCACACGCCTTCCATACACCTGCCGATTAACGTACAATCGCGGGATCACGGTAATCGGCAGGTGTATGGGCACCTTTACCCTTACCCACTGTGTGTGTGAGTGATTGAGTGAAAGACACAAAACAGCCAGTCTGTAGAACATCAACTTAAAACTGCAAAGATAAATTATTAACTAAATATTATGGAGATGCATCCAGTCAGGTACCTTGGCATTCAAAGAGCACAACTGATCCAGCATCAGCTTAGATTTTCCTTGTAGAGAATTTCTTGTCAAACATCTGGAGGTAGTTAAAGAAATGACCAGACAACACATTTTAAAGATACGTCAAGTGAACCTGACCTGGCCTAAATAGCTTGTATGGTAAAAAATGGCTGAAGTGCAGACACCACGTTAGCCTTTTAGGGTGCATGGGAAAGTAGCCTTCCCCTGAGCAAGTCTCTACTGCCAACTTAAAGTGACACTAAACTCAGGCGTTAAACCTTAAAAAGTGACATTAAAGCCAAAAAATTTTTTCGCTCCCCCCCATGTAAATGTTAGCACTTACCTCAAATGATGTCTCTTATTCTGATCTTCCTCTTCTTTCCCCATGTTTTCATGTCTCCATCCAGCGCTGCGGCGTCACTCCGATCCAGTGCTGACTGCTTTGTCTCTCCGATCCAGTGGTGTCTGCAGGCGTGTGCACGCGTCCATAGACTTACCTTGCATCTCTGCTCGTCTCACGGCCGAGAATCCGAACTGTGCATGCGCCCGCCCCAAGATCCTTTGCGGCCGTACGATCACTTCCTGATTCTCGGCGCGGGAACGAGCAGCAATAACGAGGTAAGTTTAAAACCAGTTCAAGCGTTTTTTTTTTTAAACTTCTTGCCTATATCTTCTGCTTGCTAGCAGTAGATATAGGGGGAAAAAACGGAGGGTTTAGAACCCCTTTAAAATTGCATTCAAGTCCCTTAACTATTAACAAAAATCTATCTTATTTGTGTATTCCACGGCTGTAGATCCTCCAATCATCTCTGAATTTGTTTGGACACTGTCCTTCCTTCTGGAGGGGGGGGGGCTACATTTGTTCCCCATGGTCCCTGTGTGTGTTCAAACTTCAAGCTCGCTCCTGTGATGAACTAGAATCTTAGGTTTAGTTTACTCCTTTGTACTTAGATTACAGTCCATCCCGGGAGTGATCTAGGAGTGGTGACTACTTTACAACACACACAGGGACCATGGGGAACAAAATTAGCCCCCCTCCAGAAGGAAGGACAGTGTCAGCACCAATTCAGAGATGATGTGAGGGTCTACAGCCGAGTGATACAAATAAGATACATTTTTGTTAATAGTTAAAAAGGTACTTGAATGCATTTTTAAGATTTAACTCCTGAGTTTAGTGTCACTTTAAGCTCTGAAAGTTTTGACAGCTGAATGGCAATGCTGGGGCTTGATCTCAACTTGGCCAGAAGTTAAAACTTCACTTTGGCATGGGGATTTTCATATAAATGTTTTGGGCCAAGTCAGGTCACCTGTCAAAAAATTTGTTCAAGGCATACGTAGCAGACGTGTTAGTCTTCTTTTCATCACAAGAATGTGTAGAAAGGAAGATTATAGAAAACAAAAAAACAGAGCTTGACAAACCAAGGATACAATGTAAATACATGGTTTGATATGAAATAATGTGGAAGTTCTGACAGCTCCACCATTTGTACAAACTGCAGCGATGAGCCATAGTAATGGAACACCTGTGAAAACAAGAAGGTAGCCAGTGTTAGAACCTATCCTGAGATAAAAACAGATGGTTTAATTAAAAGTTAATCAACAATGAAGAATAACACTTATCCTGCATTCTTTTCAGCATGGAAAAAATGGATTTCACACTCCTATTGCAATGTCTGATTTCCCTTGTTTCAGGGTACACTACTGGTCTACACCTCATTTCCCCCCTATTCATCTTCTCTCCCTTCTTTCCCCCTCTTGTCCACCCCCCTTCCAAGTTTATTACAAAAGAAAAACGTACTGAGATATTTAGCTTTGATACGGCATGATACCCTATGTATGTTTCTTTTACTGTTACTACTACTGACTGGTTAATGTTTCATACACCTGTGAGTGTTTTCTTTTTCTTACTTACCAAATGTCAACTTGCTGTATTACATGACCTGACTTCAATAAAGAAATATTGAGAATAAAAGTTAAATCAAACCTTATTTCTGTTTTTAGGTGGATGTGTTAGTTAAGTTTAACTCTAGCATGGCTGAGGGATCTGCAAAAGGTGCTTTTAGGATGGCATTAAAGCCAAACAGTATGGCTTTAATGTCTTCCTAAAACCACCTTTGTTATGTGCCAGGTTTCGAATTGTCCATCAACATAACCGAGTTTAGGCAGAAGATAGGATGGACTGCTATGAGGGGGGAGAAGACAAGCAAATAACCAAAAAAAGCCTCCAAGTAAAAGATCCCCGTGCCCAGCTTGTGACAATCACTTTCATCAGCAGCCGGAAGAGTTGTGAGCTATGGAAATAAGGGCCCAGCTATGCACAATAGTTGCATATCAGTGACAGTGATAACTAGCCTACACTTTTAAATTAAATAGTACTTAACTTATCATCACGTGTCACAATAGATTATACGTACCTCAGGTAAAGAATTGTCATTATTGTTATTTAGCACACGTCTCTGGAAACGTGACTGGATATCATCATCACAGGTAGACCTCAGACAAAAATCTGGAAACTCCACCTCTGAACTAAGCTACAAAAAAAAAAAAAAAATACAAAAAGTCAGGACAAATCA